AGCAGCAGCAGCAGCAGCAACAACGACAGTATTTCAGACTTTTTCTCTAGCACCATCGCCGCCATTAACTGACGTCTGATGGACACGATCTAAACGTTCTCCTGTATCATCGTTGCCATGGAGACCGGCCACAACAGCAGCAGCAGCGACAACAACATATTGGACCTGTTTTCTAACACCATTAACTGACATATGTAAGGAAAAAACTAAAGGTGTTTTTTTTTTCTCCAGCACCAACTGACAGTAGAACTCAACGACTATTTTAACGTTCTCTAACACAATCGTTGCCATGGAGACTAACCGCAACAGTAACAGTAGCAACAACAACAATATTTCAGATTTCTTGTCTAGCAGGATGGACGCCATCAACTCATACATGAACACAGGTGACAACTGGAATTTTTCTAGCACCATCGTAGCCTTCATCAAAATAATGCCGCCAGAACACAACGACTACAGTAACTTTCTGGGGCATCATGGTTGCCATGGAGAACGTCGACAATAGTAGTACATGTAGCAGCAAAACAGAATCTCAAACCTCTTCTCACGCACCATCTCCGCCATCGACTCGCGTCTGATCAGCAAGAAAGACAGCCAAACGTTCTGTGGCGCCCTTGTTGTGGTCATCAACTGACATCATTTTTTTTGGTCAAGCAGTTCAAAGTAGGACAGGGGGGGGGATGTCCAGTTTGCTTTTATCCTACCCCATCCCTTTTAGACCCACAAACACACCTCTGTCAAGAAAACAAACAAACAACAGACTATATTATTATACAACTGGCCATCAAGTGACCCTCATAACAACAACAACAAAAAAAAAACCACACTCTATCCTCAATATAAAACATACTGTGAAAGACAGCAAACAGTGGAGAACATAATTCATTTGAGTAAGCGCGCCGTCAGCTCAGATGATATAGCGCTGGACTGTGGTGTGGATGACCTTGGTTCGAATCCCTTAGCGGAGTGTTCTTGTACTCTTGTTGTTTAAGGCGTCCACTTCAAGGCTCTCCAGCCAGCCACTCGTCAAAGATCTATTGGAGATGGGCGTTGATGCGGAAGTTCCAGACTCTTAGATATCTTTACAGAGGTGAAAAGGACTTTAAATCTTAGGCCTTGACTTCGTGACCCAGACTCTGTTTACCCCTGTTCTGTGAACTGTTTTGAAGACTCGGGTCTCTATTTTATATGAACTGACGCTCGCCATCAACAGAAAAGCTCACCAGTAAGTCACTGGTCGGACTTGTGTTTTCTCTAGAACAATCTCCAGAATCAGCTGACATTCTCAACACGCCCGAGGAGTGCTTGCCTCAGTTTGTCACAGATGGGATTATGTTTCTATTTCAGTGGCCAGAAGTAATTATCTACTGACACCGACAACGCTTTAAATATACAGGTCACTGAAAAAGAACGTATACGTTGGCCGTATTTCTTTGACAGTTGGATTTTGTCTTTGCTGTTGTTGTTTGCTTGTTTTTATTCTTTTTTAAATGATTAACAATGTTTTCAGGTTTTCCGAGAGCAAACCTTAGGAAAGTCAATGTGAGGAATTTGCCAAAAGAACGAATCAAGTGATACAATCTATATAATATGTATCTGTGCAGAATTATACAGTGGAGGACACGGACACACGCACACACACACTCACACACACACACACACACACACACACACACACACACACACACAGCATTGGCCGTCCCTGATTGCAGCGATACGATGAATAAACACAATTGTTTGAGACGATGCCATTTTCTGCACCATCTTCACAAACGAGCCGCACTCCAGATCATAATAATTTGGCTCTTTCTTTTGAAGCCAAACACTTGTTTGACAATATACAAATGATGCATTTGAATGCTGTGGGCAACTAAGCCCAATTCTTGAATAGTTAATTTATGTTCTTGAAACTACGGTTCCTGAAACTATGGAATGAGGAAAATCACAAAATAGTTGTATTCAAAGCCTCAAAGTGATACAAGAAATTATATGCATTTTTGGTCCTTTTGGGGCTTCGAATGCTGCTATTTTGAGATTTCTTAAACGGTCGAGCCTTTTGCTGCTTTGTCAGTTGTTTTTAAGAAAGTATGATTCATGAGACAGTTAAAGAGCGTGTGAGACAAAGACTATCATGAAACATGTTACAAAGGAAGACACAATACGAGGTAAAACTGTTGTTTCTGACTCAGCATAAAAATAGTCTACATCAAAATGTGTTCTCAAGAAATGTTTGCAATCTTCCAGCAAGCCTTTGGGGCATTTATTTCAAGTTCATATTGTACGTTGAGTAATGTATGTGCGACTTTCCTCTTTGAAATTGTAAAACTTTGCTTAGAATGTTGTTGTTCTTCCTGATTTGTCTTCTTTGATGAAGCAGATATTCTGCTACGATTGATAACAAGCTAATGCATGTTTTGGGCGAACAATAGAAAGATCAGAAGGTGTCTAAAGTTGTGATGGTTTTGACTTTGTCACAATTGAAGAATAATTTTGTGATTTCTTAGGGGATCCAGTCTTCTGCATCTTCAGTCGTCATTTTAAAGACGTGATTAATGAGAATACCGGCGAGGGACAAGGGCATAATTTAAAGAAAAGTAAAACCCATGGAAGTGAAAATTTATTTGTAACTAATTTTTTTTTTTTAAATACATTCAAGTCATTCAGATAACATCTTTAAAAAAACAACCAAAAAAAAACCACCTGAAAGAGTAAACCCAGAATGTATTCCTTCCAACACCGACAAACTCAACCTTTAATATTAACTATTTTCAACCAACGGTCCTCTCCCTATCTAATAGTTGGCAACAAATTCTGAAGAAAAGTAAATCCTTCCACTACAGATAAACTCAATCTTTAATCTTCAGTGCTTTCATCAAAGGGTCCTCTCTATAGTCGGCAACACATTCTGAAGTTCACCACAGTTTGTTTGCGCTTTTTTTTCCGTCTAGACTCTACCTGGGTTGCTTTTTTTCGTCCAAAATGGCAAACTGTGTTGACAGAGCTGCTATGTCTGCCAGCTTTTCCAACGCCATTAAAGAAACAAATGTGAGGATTTCGTTTGGATTTGGCGGGGTTTTCATTTCTTGTTTGCTTAAATCTGCGTCAGTGTGTGAATCCAAAACGCGACTCAGGGCACCAGCTGCCTCATGTGCTTACATCAGTTGAAAAACTCTCTGATCTGCCAGACTTTGGAAAACGGTCACAGTTAATTCAGGTTACATTTTTTAAAACTTTGACTTTGACTTTGAAGATCAGTTAGCCCGTATTCGGTGATTTATCCTTGTTTTTGGGTTGTTTATTGCTTTTTTATAT